AGATGTATTTGTCCTCTTTCCATTAATTAATATGGATATAAGCTAGAGATGTGCCCTCGTACGTCCACTCAGGTGAGGGTGCCAAATCCACACACACAGGGAACACCCGTTTTAGGGCCCCACCTAACACGGCGTCCTAACCACGTCACTTTTTTTTATATATGAGGGTGCATCGTTGAGTAACGTGCGCCCGCATGTGCAGAATAATTCTTAAATCTCCCTTTATTCCACTTCACAACAAAATTTGTTTTAAAAATATATATTCACCATTTGATATCCGATTCACTAAATCTTCTATATTGATTAAGAACATAAAACTTTTTTTTTGTCTCGAAAATTACATTTTTTTGATAATATGCAATTTTATTAAATAAATTTAAGGCTTTATTCCATCATGTTCATATAAAACTCCCATACACAACTAATGTGAAATAAAAAACCAAAGATTTGTAAGTAAAGCAAAGTCGCATATTCTAGCATGGGCATCGATACCATGCCTAACCCTTCTAGGGTAGGGTAGGTGCCTGAGCCCGAGCTTGTAGCTCACAAGACTGTCATTCCCATTAGCCCCCTTGGGGTGGGGATGGCAGACCAGAGAGGCCTAGCTTGTGGCTAGGCCTGGGGACAATTGGTCCCAAAGATGAGGAGGTATTTGTGCCTCCTCCCATGGGAGACTTAGGTCTCAGACACTCCCTAAAGAGGGAGCCAAGGCCGGGCCACCACTTGGAAAAGACCCGGGCAGGGAGAATACCGGCGAATCTTTAATAATAATAATCTAGCATGGGCAGAATATATACACATCATGTGTATGTTTCTCAAATATGCTGACTAGTAGGGATGAGGTGACATGCAACCTTAACGGTTCTTACAGGCCAGAGGCTTTAAACTTAACCAACGAACATTAACGAAGAATATAATAGTATCAGTGAACAACATATATATTTTAAAATTGTTTAGCCCGGCTCTGTCGTCTGTAGATCGTGGATGGCTGGTCTCATTGAAACATGTAGCAGAAATCAGCAAGCAATGCGGCACTTCGTTATAGTAGGGTCATCCAACTTGAGGTTGCATGCACCCCGTGGGGGTGAATGAAGCCTCAGCAGGAGGTTCATGAATAGTCCCTAGGATGCGACAGCATTTTGTACTCTTCTGTAAAGGAATATTTTATTCATGCTTAAAAATTACATTTACATAAATTATGGAATATATTATGAATCAGGGGTAATAATCAGCCAGGCCCATGTTCTCACCAAGTAAGTTTCTGGTCGTTCAGAAAGCCGGACGGTCCGGCCAGTGTGACAATCAGCATAACATGCCCCTGGCACTCTCAACCACTCTTCCTCGCTTCATATTACTCACAAGTAAAATACAAAATCGTAAGTCTCGCTGAACTTTTTTTTCTGCTATGGCTAAGGAATTCACATATTAAGTAAACTTCAGCCAGTTGGAGAATTTATTTTTGTGCGCTTTTGAATATATACATTTTTATTACTAGAATACTTTAGTTCTACAGATCTACCTTAAAATGCAAACTCAGTATGTTCTGAAGGGTAATTCGATCTTTATTTTTGCTATCAAAAATTTTATGAGATAGGGTGCGTTAGTTGAACTAAATTGGGTTTGAGTACACAAGCTAATAAAAGTTCAACAACCCTGCTAATTTTATATCAAGTTTCCATTGTTTCAACATCTTGATGGAATCCTTCTACTCAGGCCAGATAAGTTAGGGTAATAATACGTATGTGAATGAAGTTAATGCAATTTGAGTCGTTGGTAACTGTACAGTACTTGATTAACTATTGCTTCGTAGTTGACATATCTGTGTTTGTCAAGAAACCTATTGTAAATGATTTTAAATGAATGCCAAGCTAACTCCGAGTCATTCAGTGCCATTTGAAAATCAGCCATGAACTGCCAAATTTGTGAACCTACAAATATACATGCCTTAATCTTGGCCTCACCTAGTTTGGGGAACTTTCCTGACAAGTATTTGAATATTTGATAATAGTTTTCCATTTCCTTGACCAGTTGCTCAATGAAAATTAGCCTAATATGCAGAATATTGTGGTACCAACACTTTTATATGGGTGTTGTGAGCGAGGAGGCTAGAGGCAGTGGAGATGCCATGTTTGTGAACGATGTGCGGTTAGCTGCTAATATTATGCAGAGAATTCGGAGCATAGAAATTAGAGATATAATTCGGAGGGCAGAAGAGGGGTTGATGAGATGGTTTGGGCGTTTAAAGAGGATAGAATAGAAAAAAATAATACCAATAGGGTACATAAGTCTGGGGCGGAAAGAAGTCGGGATATGGTTCGTCCCAGGAAAGGTTGGGGTACTGGGAGTTTGAGCACTCAGCAGGCTTGTGTGAGCGTGTTAGATCTTAGAGGAAAGAAGTGGTATTTATGAGGAAGTGCTGTTGTAGTCTTAGCAAAGTAACACATATAGAAGGATTCAGGGAAACCGATTAGCCGAACTTGAATACTGATAACACTGAAAGATGGATGGGAATGTGGCATTTCTGAGGGCCATTTAATTAAAATTTTGTCTGCGAACTTCTGGAAAGACTGCTACTGAATGGTGAATATTTATTTTTTGGGGGTCACCCTTTGTTGGTGGGAGACAGCGGGAGTGATAAATAACTATATATATATATATATATATATATATATATATATATATATATATATATATATATATATATATATATATATATATATATATGCAATAAGATCACAGTAAACAGGTGATTTCAGAATATGCAAAACAACCACTGTGAAAGAATAGAGAAATTCCAAGCGCTTTCGTGACTACTCACATTTCCAAGGAACTATGAAAGTAAAGCATCCAAGGAAGGTATATAAGGGGTTTGGCCAACACCTCACTATCAGATATATATATATATATATATATATATATATATATATATATATATATATATATATATATATAATATATATATATATATATATATATATATATGGTATAAACCTTGGTAATAAATACCGACAAGTTGGTTTAGAAAGACACGTAAGCAAACACTATAACATATTTATTAGAAAACGTTTCGGTCCTGGGACCTTGTTAGAAGTGATCAAGGTCCCAGGACCGAAACGTTTTCTAATAAATATGTTATAGTGTTTGCTTACGTGTCTTTCTAAACCATATATATATATATATATATATATATATATATATATATATATATATATATATATATATATATATATATATATATATATATATATATAGATAGATAGATAGATAGATAGATTACTCCATAACGGAGTAACCGAAACTTGTCCTCATTACACAAATAACCATTTACAAAGTCATAGTGTGACTGTAAATGGTCCAAGATGGACCGAAAGGTCGTCGTAAGCTTGTGTGTTCTATGTGCGGAGTGTTTGTATATTGTTCCAGTCACGATATTGTGACTTTGTTATTTATATATATATATATATATATATATATATATATATATATATATATATATATATATATATATATATATATATATATATATCTTTTATTTAAAGACAAAATACATTGACGAAACATTCACAAAAATATGATACAAAGTAAAACAACATAGGTAACTCAGAGCTACATCTCGAATACTTCGTCCAGCTCCCCTGCGGTGGGCCGCGTGCCCAGAATGCTGCAGGCATTTCCTCTCTGGATCGCAACACTGAGTCTCTGAAAGAGGAAGCTGGTCGCCCTGTGGTCCTTGGTTTCTGTGATGAGCTTTTCACCCAGCTCTTTGAGGAACTTTAGAGCACACTTGCCCCATGCTCCAAGGGTCTCCGACCCTATTGGAATGAAGTTATAGCAAGGGGGAAGGTCTTCATATTTTCGGATCTTCTGGGTCTCCCTGTGGCTGGCAGCTCCACCCCCTTCCACTACAGAGTATGGCAAGTAGGTGTCTGCCAATGTGGCAGCACAGGTGTAGTCCCAGGCAATCTGCTTTCCATCCTTCCAGGGTAGCATAGTGGCTCCATCAGGACGCTTTTGACTTCCATCAGACCTCTGTACTTGGGGTTCCCGTTGAGCTGGGCAACGGGCTGTGGCGAGGCTTCTCTTTATTATGTCATTGATCTCCTCATTTCTGGCATACTTCCCTTCTGCTGTGTGACACACGAGACCATGGAGTCCGAATTGATCAGCTGTCGCCCTGCCGCAAATACACCTATGTTCGGTGAGGATGGGGGCGGCTAGGCGAAGAGCAACACCAATCCGAATGGCCTGTGGGTCGAGACGGGTGCCCAGGGAGGAATTGGGAACAGCTAACAGGAAATCTCCTGAGTGTGGTGCCTTTATATATCTATATATATATATATATATATATATATATATATATATATATATATATATATATATATATATATATATATATATATCTTTCAACACACCGGCCGTATCCCACCAAGGCAGGGTGGCCCAAAAAGAAAAACAAAAATTTCTCTTTTAAATTTAGTAATTTATACGGGAGAAGGGGTTACTAGCCCCTTACTCCCGGCATTTTAGTCGCCTCTTACAACACGCATGGCTTACGGAGGAAGAATTCTGTTCCACTTCCCCATGGAGAATATATATATATATATATATATATTAATATATATATATATATATTATATATATATATATATATATATATATATATATATATATATAATATAACACACACACACACAGAAATGTAACCTGAATTATTGCATACGCGTATTCCGTGAACCCCCAACAGTGTGCTAGGTTCCCACCATTCAGCCATTGCACCGGAAGAAGCAAATACGTTACTGCTGCAGTGTAATGGTCTCTCTTCTCACTCGAATGTCTCAGTACGTAAGTCTTTACACACTACATTCTAATCCATCATTATATCCCAGCATATTTTATAATGTTTGCATCAAAAGATGTAAACACATGGGAATATCAGTGGTGGTAGGGGAGTGGGCGGGTGGTAGCGTACACACACCTGGCTACCAGCAGCAGTGTTGGGATGTGCTAGTTAGTCGCTGCTGGTGTAGTGGAGTGGAGGTGAGGGTGTTTGCTCCCGCTTTCACTTTGGTTCCTGCTTCAGCTTATACTGAGAGCAGAGCTTTGGTCCAGGGAAAGTGCTAAGAGTGGTACCTGTAGCATGTTAAAAAACTACAAGGACGAAAAACCCAAACGTGAACTTTGTTTATAATAGTTGGTAGCCTGATTGCTGCGTATCTGACGTAAATGGACATGAACTAGTGTAGCTCGTCAGTGTTCATTATATAATGTGAAATATTCCAATAGGCACAGTGTTCTAATTGATTTATAGTGTGATTTTATTATGTCGTGATTGCGACACGTGTACTTACGAGAAGTGTCGCTGGTGACAGGTCTTGATGCTACGTTAATAGTATATTATTGTTTATAAGTTGCGTCAACTTCAACTTGTGACCTCTTGTGATTCGGATCTTTCATATCTCCAAGTGTTAAGAAAACATCTGCAATAATAAAAGAAAGAAATTTTCAACCCTGTAAGTGGGTTCCCTCATTTGCAAAGAAGGAAAAAATAACGTTGAGCTTCATCAGATGTCGAGAATGCTGAGATAAATCTCAGGTGCACTCTGCCGACTGTTGTTACACTTGTGTAATTTGGTGGTAAGAGTGAATAATAAGCACTCTCGCCACTGAGTTCCCTGGATAATTACACATGCAACATTCATTGTAAATATCCAGCTGGGAAATTAACAAAATTAATTGTAAACAGGCTGACGAATTTAGAAAATAAATGAAGCACATGTATGCATTTTCATGGACATCCTCCCTGGAATACTATATATGAATAAAAGATGGTATCATTGAAATAAGAAATTTACATGCTGTTAGGTCCGTGCGATTGATACGGCGTGTATGAAATTCATGAAACACACCACAAATAATTTTGTGATACTTTTATCAACACAAGTCCGTGATGTATTGAAAATGTATGAAGATAAATTTTCTATTTCATACACGAAATGGTACGTACAAAAGACATTAATACGTATTTATGGGTGCAACTTGGAAGGTAAATGAAAAGTTTGCTTTACATAAGTGTTTGGACAGCTGTTAATGAGACTCGGGGCCAATATTAGTAATGTGGCTCACTGTATAATGACTAGCAGCAGCAAAATGTTTGAGAGTAACCCACATGCAGGCAAAAGGCAGGATAATAGTTGTCTATATACCTCGATCTGAGAAGAGAATTTCAGATCCAGATCCAGATGTATAGAACTATTAACCTGCATTCGTCTCTATATGGATTACCCTCTTAAATACACCTAGGGTATAGCTCAGAAGACTGGAGAAAGGTTGTTGGGGGCGGGGGGGGAGGGGGTGTTTGAACATGTAGAAAGGCTGGAGAGGGATGGGATGACTAAGACTGTGTATAATCCTGGGGTGGAAAGTAGGAAGGTGTAGGAGTCATTCAAGGCCTAGTTGGACGAAGGAAGGTATTCGAGTCTGACTTTCAGTTGAGGGGAATGCGAGAAGAGGGGCATAGAGACACGTGGTTTTTTTTCAATGGACGTGCTGTTGGAGTGTGAACAAGATAAAATGTATAAAGGGATCCAGGGAACTGGTTAGCTGAATTAAGTCATGGAAATGGAAAGTACAGTGCCTTCACTCTGGAGGCGCAGTGATGTTACAGCAAGAGGGTACTCTGAATCGTGATGTGAGCACATTATGCCAGGATAACGATTGAGTGAATGAGCTTCTCATATTCTATATAATTATATATTATATATATATATATATATATATATATATATATATATATATATATATATATATATATATATATATATATATATTATATAATGTGTGTGCGTGCGTAATAAGATCACAGTAAACAGGTGATATCAGAATATGCAAAACAACCACTGTGAAAGGAAAGTGAAATTCCAAACGATTTCGTGACTTCTCACATTATCAAGGAACTATAAAGACAATACATCAAAGGAAGGCATATACAGGGTCTAGACGGCACCTCACTATCACATCCCACAACAAAGAAACACCTGACTAAATTTGACCTTTACTGCAGTTTTCTGCATTAATACATTAGGTAGGTGCACTGATGCCAATGAGAGGATCTAGATATAAGGAACTGAACTTTTCCTTTCTCTGTGGATGTAACCCGACCGCCTCCCATTCCCCCGGCGCTACGTGATCCATATAATTTTAGCGCTTCTCCCTAAATCTAATTAGGATGTTAATACCATTGTATGAAACCTGATTTCCTTCAGTTCCCTCTGCGCTATATGTCCCCTACGGGTTTAGCACTTCTTGAAAATATAATCAAGCAAAAATATCTAAAATGCCAAACAAATAAGTGCTAGGTACGTAGCCTAAAAATGGATATTACACAATAACACATTGCAATTCAAAGCAGTGTTAGTGTACTGTGTGGTGAAGTTTAATAAGTCATTCTCTGTGGTGCCACGTATTGCTAACTAGTTTTTTCCTGTAAACACTTAAGATCTCACGGTGTCGTGATGTGGTGGGATGGTTAGATGGGACTAGTGCACCAAGACTCGCGTAGGAGTTTTTAGTAGTGAGTGAAGGCTAAACCAAAGGTAGACTTGAGTATATGAAAGGAAGACTGACCTTGAAGAATTATTATTTTGACAGCTGGGAAAAACTTAAATGAACCTCTTAAAATATTATAATATCTATCAACGTTTTGGCTTTAAAGCCATTGAATTATCATCGAAATGTTGATAGGCACTACAATAAATGTCCTTAGAAGATAACTTCGTCTTTCCTACCCCAAAACTACATTGGGTAATTTTTAATGGTTTAGTTTTGTACTGTGCAGGACTCTGGCATTTCGAGGCGAAAAAAGCTAAATTTATCTTGAGATAAAGCTTAAGCTCAAAGTTGAAAAGTGCAAAATGAAAGTTGGGAATGGCGAAGACGGGTGGTAGGAATCAGCACGAGTAGTTAAGACAAGGAGAGGAAAGGTCATCTTTGTGCCACTGGCCCCTCAAAGGAGGTTCCTTGACGCTGGTGAGGGGCTCTTGATCTAGGGAATTAGATCTGTGCTCCGGTTCCCTGAATTGAGCCTGAATACCTTCCACCCCACTCCCACGCGCTGTATAATCCTACGGGTTTAGCGCTTCCCCATGATTATAATGTGCCATTGGCACTTAAGAGCATCACAAGACAGTTGTCATTCTTGACAATTTATTACCACCTGCATATAAACCATGGGCATTTATTACGCCAATTAAACTTCTATATGATAGCAACGAAAGTTCTCAGTGAAAGTGTAGTGAGGATAATGAAAAAAACTGAACCGACCTTAAGAGATATTATTTTGTAATAAAGGAATTTTGGAAGAAACTCAAACATGACAATTGCGGTAGAGGAAAACAGCTTCCTGTGAAAATATTAAGAGAAAAATAAGACAAAAAAAAGTTAAAGTAAAGAAAATTTTAACACTATTAAATTTATCTAAAGTTAAAGAAAAACAATAAACACACCAAGGAAAGATAAAAATAATAACTCCTCCATCAGAGGAATAATTTCATATCTGCGGAGATGTCTGTGGGGACGTATATGTCAAGCTCAGTAGTTGACTTTCTCCATAAGGTTATGACAGTATCATAAATGTAGCTCTAGTGTTGAATACTCTGATGTAAAAGGCAGGCCAGTTGTTGAGTTAGTGAATATTGACCAGAAGGTGAAAGTGAGGTCGTTCAGGCGACTTCATGGCACAGGTAGTTCACCGGCAGGCAACTGATGTTACTTCTTTCGTGAAGTCTGAGTAGCTCTGTAGAGATAAATCCAGATTCCATAGCTAGGTAAGAAGTCCGTACAATATACTCCAAGACCAAATCACTGCTGTAGATCAATTGCATAGTTGCAAAAATTCTAGTCTTGTAGATCAATTGCATAGTTGCAAAAATTCTAGTCCCATCCAGCGCTTTTTCCAGGAGGTAAGGAACCAAGAACTCTGGACTGGGAGGAAACGAAAGATTAAAATGCCTAAAACTAAGTCAAGGCATAAAAACTTAACACAATAAGGAAGCCCACTTGGAGCCTTCAAAACACAAGAAAATCCCAACACTAAAAGAATAGTCTTCACACCTTAAGCGATGGAGTACCTTATTTAGAAAAAGGTTTTGATTCATTTTAGGTTGTGTAGGTCCCAATCTTATTGAAAAAATTGGGAAACGTGAAATACTGACTGTAATGCAATAATTTGTGAAAGCCTCATCCAATCGGCTTCAAACCTTTAATTCCATTAGCTTAAAAATGCCCTTAATAATCTTGCCCCTTCCATTAAGTTTAAAACTGAATGGGAATCTAATCCCTTGCTTCCTTTCCTGATGTTCATGTCCACCGTTCAGGTACAGGTTCTGTTTTTTTTCGTGTACAGCAAGCCTATGCACAGTGGCATGTGCATTCGCTACTTATCACGCTTCCTCTGTCAAGAAAAGTGTTCTTATTCCTCTCTTTCTCCGTGCTCTCCGCATTTGTGATCTTCAGTTCCTTGAATTGGAAATTTCCACTCTTCGCAATTCATTTTCTCGTCTTGGCTACCCTTCCCATTTCATAGACTCTTCCTTCTCACGCGCTAAACGGACTTTCTTCTCCCAACCCCTCAAGGGAGGTTCCATGACGCTGGTGAGGGGCTCTTGATCTAGGGAATTGGATTTGTGCTCCGGTTCCTTGAAGTGAGCCTGAATACCTTCCACACCCCTCCCACATGCGCTGTATAATCCTACGGGTTTAGCACTTCCCCATTATTATTATTTTATTCTATTCTTCTCTCCCAAACTCTTTACGCCTGGGAACTCTTCTGTCCTCTGCCTTCCCTACATTTCCAGTCTTTCTAATCTCAACAACTCTCTCTGTTCCTTAGACATCAGACTTACTTTTCTCCAGACTATCACACTTCGCACCAATCTAGTTCATACCTCTCCTCCCTCTATAAATGCTCCTGATGTCTACTGTTTCCTATTTCTCTGTTCCTTAGACATCAGACTTACTTTTCTCCAGACTATCACACTTCGCACCAATCTAGTTCATACCTCTCCTCCCTCTATAAATGCTCCTGATGTCTACTCTGTTTCCTATTTCTCTGTTCCTTAGACATCAGACTTACTTTTCTCCAGACTATCACACTTCGCACCAATCTAGTTCATACCTCTCCTCCCTCTATAAATGCTCCTGATGTCTACCCTGTTTCCTATTTCTCTTGTTATCTTCAGTACTTTGGAGAAACTGGCCGTTCTCTTTCTGACAGGCTCGGAGAGCACAAAAGTAATGTTAGGCTTGTTGACACCAACAATGCTCTTTTCTGTTATGTCAGAGATCACAGTCATCCTATTGACTGGTCTTTTGCTAAAACTGTCTACCCTACTTCTAACTTTCAGAGTCACCGTCTGATTGAATCCTCCCTTATACACAGCTTTCCTTGTATAAATCTTAGTCCTGGCTTTGTCTCTATAGATGCCTTCCTTTCCCATTACATTGTAAAATGCTCCAAACTTCAGAACACCCATAACTTAATTCTTTTTCTCCTTCTCTCTCTTCCCCTTTCCTCTTTCCTCTTTCTTCTTTGGGGTTTCTTTCTTCTGCCTTTTGTGTTTGGTCCTTTATTATTTCCTCCCCTCTGTATTTTTCTTCCTACTCTTTGTGGGCCCCTAGCTCCTTTGCAGTGCTCCTCTTTCTTGGTCTTTGACTCCACTACTACTACCTCTACCACTACTCTCCTTTCCTACTACCCCTCTTGTCCCGTCCCTCTGCTGGCCTATATATACTGCCTCCTCCTCTTCTTTCTTTTAGTGTGACTTTGTAAATGGTCCAAATCGGACCGAAACGTCGTCGTAAGCGGGTTATTTGTGTATTGTTCCAGTCACGGTATTGTCTTTTTGTTATTTAAAAATGGAGCTCTTGAGCTGCTTCAGATTTAGTGCTGATGTATTTTGGGATATTGATCTCGGTGTGATAACTAGCGAATGCCTTTTCTGATTGACTTGAAACTTTCAAGTTTATGTATCTTATTTAGTGTAAGGTTCGAATTGGTTTTGAGCTGTGTAGTTCTTATTCGGTAATTTGTGAATGCCTCTTTTGATTTGCTTTAAATCTTCAAAACTGATATTTGATTGTATTAAAAACTTGTGCAACACATTATTGTTCCTTTTGCTAGTACTGAGGTAGAGTCGGGGGGGGGGGGGGGCTGGGCTTACGTAATACATACATACCTTTTTCAAATCGCGCAGCGACCGAACACTTCTAGTTTTCGTAGGGTTATAGCAAAAAATTAATACAGAAGGTTCCTTGCCTATTAAGCCAATTCTGCATGTTCTGGGAAGAGCATTAGGGAGGAGGAGAGTCCTAACGTCACCCTATAAGCCTCGAGTTTTTGTAATTACAGAGGCTAGGGAGTGGATCCTGTTGCTTAGGTGGGATGGGGAGGGTTGTTGGGTGGTTGAGGGTGGTCGGGCGTGGCTAAGGGTAAAGCATTTACACGTACACACTTTTTAATATCTAATAAATATATGCTTACCCTTATGGGAACAAATTAAATAGTGCTATCGGGTAGCAGTTTGGAGGGTGATTTGAATGTTTTTCCTTCTTTGGGTCACCCGAATTTGGTGGGAAACCACAGATTTAGTAAAACTCAACACTTAAATTATTTTTAATCACTAATAAAATTTAAATTATTTTAACAGCGTACATAGTGAGCACTTCATTTGCATAAAGCACATTTTGCTCTTGCATTTCAATATCTTAATAACAAATGGCGTTAGGACAGTGTTTCGCTCTGTGCAGAAAGTGTCCCAATAATGACTTATTGTGTAACATCTTTTCTGCACAACAAATGAGTAACTATTTTACTCACCTTTGGCACCGTCTTGTAGTGCCTGTCACGGCTTGCACATGCGAGGACTTGGCACAGAGGAAGACGCGTCGTACATGCGTTAACGTGTGTCGGGGCTCCTGATATTTCCTGCCATGGCTTAGGGTGGTAAGAAGACACTGGGCCAGTGATACCACCAGACGCTAGTTCTGGGGGTGGCACCTGAACGCATTTACTGCCATGCACGCTGTGTCACGCAGTGCCATGTGGGTATAATATAGTTTTAGTACAATTTAATAAGGACAACAGTAGTGTTATAATAACCATAGTGTTTCAAACTATTATACAGTTAGAGCTTGCTGGCAACTGTTAACGTGCCACAGGACTTTTTACCTTGTCTTGACAACGCCACTATTTGTGGCGTGGGTTGTCACAACGGCATTATTAGTGTCGTGCGCTGCCACAACGGCATTAGTATTATCGTGAGGCGTCACAGTGACATTAATATTAGTTAAAAAGACGTATAAAGAAACACTAGAACATATCTGGAAAACGTTTCGGTCCTAGGACCTTGATCATTCTATCAGAAGTGATGGTCTCAGGACCTGAAGGTTTACTAAATATGCCCTAATGTTGACTTACGTGTCCTTTTAAAAGAAGTTGCCGGTATTCATATATTTATACCACTGATGATACTAATAATGTCGTGATGTGTCACAATGATACTAAAACTGTCGTGACGTCACTATGATATTGCTAATGTGAAATGTTATAATGTTTTGTGTAGTGTCACACTTGTTTGACTATATTATAGTGTTGTGTCGTATTGGTATGACCTAGTGCCTCGGGGTCACGTCAGTATGTAGAAAAAGATAACACCAAGAGACAGTAATTGGTGGTGAGTGGAATGAACGGTAATGAATAAAGTGAAGTGTAGTTATATCACAGTGTAGCGTATGTAGTGTGCCAAAGAATGGTTGAAATTTGTTGCACAAGTAAAAGACGCATTTTATATAGTGTAGCGTTTTTAGCGAGGGGTTTTGGAGGTAATTTGGTAGGCTAGGAGGTACTGAAGTGTGTTGAGATAGTGAGGTGTTTCGGGAGAGGTGAAAGTGAAGTGTGTTTGGGAAGGGGGGAATAAAGGGTGCAGCATCATTATCTGTATTCCCCTCAGTTGTATGCATGTCTCTTATCTTATCTGATACCTGTCTGTATCCCCCTCGACACCTCTCAGAATCCCCTCAACTCCTGTATATATCCCCCGTGACACCTGTCTGACTTTCCCCTGGACACCTAGAGTATCTGTCCATGACCCTTATGCTCCTCACAATGCCCTAGTATGCCCGTTACGCCTCTCCTATCTAGTATAACTTATATACTCCTCTTCCTCATTCTTTATTACGCGTAAAGACGAAATCATTAACTATAGGCATAAAATAATAATTAAAGTAATAATATAATAATAGTGTTACTTAAAAATGTATTTTATCCTTGATGTCATAATTATAAAAAGAGTTTCACATTAAAACACAAATGCAATATGGTAACCAAAATGGGATGAAGCAATTCAAAATATAAGGAAGATAAGGTAAAGTGTTATATTAATACCGTGATATACAGTGTTGTGATAAACTGGGACTCGCGAGAGACGGTTCAAGTGGCAAGCAAAACAGCTGATACAAGAGAGCCGCAAAGGCGCTCGGTTGACAACAAAGCTTCCGATCACTTTTGCCCTCATATACCATGAGCGGTCGCAGAGTAAACCTTCAGGACCTCACCCGCCTCTTGACTCAGGGGCGGCGTAGCCAGGACCAATCCCAGGACCCGTCTTCCAGGGCAGAGGCTTCCGAAGTAGGAGGTCCCGGCAATCAGGACGCGACCACCAGACCACCTGAAGCAGTCATTTCACCTTCAGGAGAAAATATTGCCACGTTGATGAGTCACACAGAAGACACACAGGATGGAGCATCGTCGACAGGAGATTCTTCAGGAGAGTTCAGTCAGCCCAAACAGTTAGTGGAAGACACCAAAGGGTTCCCAGAAGGGGATCCCACAAACGGCAACCTAACGGAGTTCGTTCACGAGGTTGAATTTCAGCACAACACACTCCTGGGGAAGATGCAGCTCCTGAGAGAGGCCCTGGCACAACAGCTTGCATCCACAGGTAAAGTTTTTTATTTTTTTATTTTTAAGTATCATAGGAATGAATACACAATATTTTGTCATTTCTTGCCGTTCTAAAATACTGTTCATATTTACCTTCAACTTAAATTCTTACAGACTTATTTCAGTAACGGATATAGTAAAGCATTTGGGAAAATCATAAGATAGAAATAGATAAAATATCTGATGGGTAGAAATTTGATAAACTGTTTGGGTATAGATGAGCTAAATCCTGTGCATTCAGTCAGTTGAGTTATTATTAGGTATTCCCAGAGATATCTAAGTTGTTTGCCTGTTTTTTCTTCCTTCAAGGTTTAAATATGTAACTTGCGAACGCTTTATTCGATCAGCTTCAGATTTTTGTGCTGTTATATTGTAACTAGGGAAAGGTTCATGCCACTATAGGCATCATAAGTGCTCTTTGGTAAATTTTATACTCTATTCCTGAATTTGGTTTCTATGCGATATCTTGGAGTCTCCTAAAAAAAAAAAAGGGTTGTCGCGGGAGGGTGTACTGTAGGTGCCAAGTGCTAAATCTGGTATTGGTGTAGTAGTTTTTTTTTTAATTTGAGTATGCCTTTTCTGAATGGCTTCAGTCTTTATTGGCTGATGCATCGTCGCATGGGCAGAATGCAATAACTGAAGAATGCTTCTTTCAAACGGCTTGAAATTTTCATTGAATGTGAGTTTGCTCAAAGAAAGGTTCACATTGATTTCAAGCTGCGTTAGTTTGTTTACCAATTTTATTAAACAATGACGAGAGAATGCTTCTAACCAACTTCAAACCCTAAACGCAGGTGTATCTTAATTAGAGAAATTTTTTTGGATTGATCTTGGACTGGGTAGGTGTCAATTTTGTTGAAGAAATTTTGAAAAATTTAAATACTGTTGTAGTTTTCATTCGATGATTTGTGAATGTGTGACGATCTGCTTGAAGTCTTCAACACTGATGTATCTTACTAAGAGGAAGCTCTGGAATCTTATCGGACAGTGTAGGTACCATTTACCGAATTTTAACCCTCGGCATAACTCTGCGAGTACACACAAAGACAGGCTGGCATGCAGACTGAAAAACACCAAACTCGACCCAGGCGCCAGTAGCGGACGCATTTAAATTCCAGTTTTTACCCCCTCTCCCCCATCCTTCCCCTGGACGTCTGGACTCCCTGCTAGCAACCTCTCATTCTGCATCCAAGGTTCAACGTCTTGATCTCCTCTACCAAACTATATTAAGTGTACTACGTTAGTTTACTTATACGTTTCCCGGTATCAATTTCTTAAAATTTTCTGCAATTCTCTAAATACCATTTTCTTTATTTTGCTTTAGGTTCGATTACACCTGGTTAGGTTAGGTTGGATTCGGTTAGTTTAGGTTACATAAACCTATGACAAACGTGTGTTAACCACAAATAAGCAAATTAAACAAAATTGCCACATTGGCCGTTTCCCACCAAGATCGAGTGACTTAATGAAACAGACCAATAATTCTCTTGAAAGAAATTCACGGGCATTGTATGTAATGTCGTGCCGAATAAGTAAAATTGGTCAGTTAGCAACAACTCGTTTAAAATTAAGTCCTTTCTAAAATTTTCTCTTATACGTTTAGATATATTTTTATCATTGATGTTAAAGTAAAATTTAATAATTTTGTACAAAAATGATCCTTAGAAAACTTAACCTTATTATAACAAGCGCAAATTAAATTTCTCTTGTTATAATAAGGTTAGGTAAATCTTCTAAAATTCTTTTGGTACAAAATTATTAATTTTCACATTAACATAATTGAAAAATATATCTTTAAACATGTAAGAGAAAATTTTAGAAAGAACTGAATTTTAAATGAGTTCTTGCTAATTAACCAATTTTACCTATTCAACACGATGTGTGTGTATATATATATATATATATATATATTATATATTATATATATATTAATATATATTATATATATATATAATATTATATATATATATTATAATATATTTGAAATGATAGTGTCATTACTCAATACCTGTCTTGTGCTAGTTACTGGTTGTAAAAGGCACTTGTCGATAAAGTACTCACTGTAATTTAGATATACGCTTTAAAATCTTTCGTTCGCCGGTGCATGTGGGAGAGATGAAAAACAAATCACCAGCCGAGTGCTAGCTCCTTTGGAACAAACACCTTTCTTGGCAGGGAGCCATAGTATTGTTTGGTCTGGAATGTTGCGTATAGTATTGCGTACTTTGTCTCAAAGTTTGTAGGTTTGAGTCTCCTTACATAGTTTCGAAATATAATCTATAAGGAGGAGGTAGTCCTGTTGCTTTTAGTGAGGGAGAGAGGAGAACGGACAGGTGGTGTTGACAATTGTAGGGATAAAGAGGATGGAGGGAAAATGTATATTTTTATATTTATGGGAAATTGCTTAACTCGTAGGGGCCATGAAGAGCTTGGAACGTTGGAATTAATCAGGTTCGATTTAAAGAAGAGAATGTGAGGTCCAATTCTTGTTATCGACA